GACCGGGAGCAGAACCGGGACCGGGATTCTGGACCCACTGGAACCGGCCCCTCAGGACCCCTTGTGACCCCTGGGGACCGGGAGCAGAACCGGGACCGTGATCAGACCCAGAACCGGGACCAGGATCAGACCCAGAACCGGGAGCAGAACCGGGACCGGGAGCAAAACCGGGACCGTGATCAGACCCAGAACCGGGACCGGGATCAGAACCAGGACCGGGACCAGAACCGGGATCAGAACCGGGATCAGAACCGGGATCAGAACCGGGATCAGAACCGGGATCAGGACCGGGATCAGAACTGGGACCGGAACCAGAACCAGGATCAGAACCGGAATCAGGACCGGGATCAGGACCGGGATCAGAACCGGGACCGGGATCAGAACCGGGATCAGGACCGGGATCAGAACCGGGACCGGTACCGGGAGCAGCCGGGGGCGGTGCCGGTGCTGCCGCCGGGCTCGCGGAGCAGCGGCATCATCGTCAGCCCGCGACAGGTGGGCGGGGCCATGTCGCGACAGGGGCGGGGCCTGGGCAGGTGGGCGGGGCCATGTCGCGACAAGTGGGCGTGGCCTGGGCAGGTGGGCGTGACGATATAGCGACAGGTGGGCGGGGCCTGGGTAGGTGGGCGGGGCCTGGACGGGTGGGCGGGGCCTGTGCAGGTGGGCGGTGCAATATAGCGACAGGTGGGCGGGGCCTGGGCAGGTGGGCGGGGCCATATCGCGATAAGTGGGCGTGGCCTGCGCAGGTGGGCGTGGTCTCGGCGGTGGGCGGGGCCTGTGCCTCCATATCGCGGGTGGGCGGGGCCATGTCACGACATGGGCGGGGCGTGGCCTGGGCTCATGTCGTGACATGGGGACCGTGTCCCATGTCACACAGGGGCCGTGTCCCATGTCACACGGGGGGTGTGTCCCATGTCACACTGGGCGTGTCCCATGTCACACAGGGGCGTGTCCCCGCTCATGTCACACGGGGGGCATGTCCCATGTCACACACGGGGGCGTGTCCCATGTCACACGGGGGCGTGTCCCCGCTCATGTCACACGGGCCGTGTCCCATGTCACACACGGGGGCGTGTCCCATGTCACACGGGGGCGTGTCCCCGCTCATGTCACACGGGCCGTGTCCCATGTCACACGGGGGTGTGTCCCATGTCACACGGGGGCTGTGTCCCATGTCACACGGGGGCATGTCCCATGTCACACGGGGCATGTCCCATGTCACACGGGGGTGTGTCCCGTGTCACACTGGGCGTGTCCCGTGTCACATGGGGGGTGTGTCCCATGTCACACGGGGGGCGTGTCCCATGTCCCACGGCGGCCGTGTCCCATGTCACACGAGGGCCGTGTCCCATGTCACACGGGGCATGTCCCATGTCACACGGGGGGTGTGTCCCATGTCACGACACGGGGTCCGTGTCCCATGTCACACGGGCCATGTCCCATGTCACACGGGGTCCGTGTTCCATGTCACACGGGTCCGTGTCCCCGCTCATGTCACGCCACGCCCCCCCAGCGCGGCAATCCGGTGCTGCGCTTCATCCGCGGCGTCCCCTGGCGCTTCGGCGACGTCGTCCCCGACTACGTCCTGGGCGCCAGCACCTGCGCCCTCTTCCTCAGGTGAGTGCCAGCTGTGCCAGCTGTGTGCCCAGGTGTGCCAGCTGTGCGCCAGGTGTGTGCCCAGGTGTGCCAGCTGTGTGCCAGGGGTGTCCCAGGTGTGCCTGTGTGTGCCCAGGTGTGCCAGCTGTGCGCCAGGTGTGTGCCCAGGTGTGCCAGCTGTGTGCCCAGGTGTGCCAGCTGTGTGCCAGGGGTGTCCCAGGTGTGCCTGTGTGTGCCCAGGTGTTCCCCAGGGGTGTGCCAGGTGTGCCCAGGGGTGTCCCAGGTGTGCCCAGGGGTGTCCCAGGTGTGCCATCTGTGTGCCCCAGGTGTGCCCAGGGATGTCCCAGATGTTCCCCAGGTGTGCCCGGGTGTGTGCCCAGGGGTGCCAGGTGTACCCGGGTGTGCCCAGGGGCGTCCCAGGTGTGCCCAGGTGTGCACAGGTACCCCCAGGTGTGCCCCAGCTGTGCTCAGGTGTGCCC